CACTGAAGGTGGCACAGGTTTGAAAACAGGCCCAGGTCTGAGTGGACGTCTGCGGTTCTCTCTCACCAGAAGCAGGACTGGGACAAGGGCCGCCCCACGCCACTGTTGTTAGGTTGCCAACTTGGCGATTTGGAGCTCACTACCTTTTTCTCCTTACAAAGCACATGTTCAATAGATGCCTTTCTTTCTACCTCCAGAGTTCTTCCTCTTCTTTCTAGAGAAGCTCTCATGAAAGGAATGAACTTTTTCTTATGAAATTACCCGGCCAACACTCTAAATGCGTGACTTTGGACATCTTATTTCAGTGGTAGCCCTGTACCAACTTACCAGTTTGGGAGAGTTCCTCAGCTCAGGGGGTCAACAGACAATGAACTACAGATTCCAGACTGTCCTTTCAGAAGGGAATTTAGAGTTCCATTGGGTGTTTTGGGGACCTCAGGCAGATATATCCCGGGATGCCTGCCATGTAGGAGAATCCCAGCCAAGGATACAGAGCTGTGCTATGACTGTCATGGTCTGGGTGTTCCTAGCCATCAGGGACTTACAGTGATGGTGGGGACGCCCTCCAGCCTTGAGGGTCTTTCTTTACCATGTGCTGCTTTTGATTTGTTCTTCTGTCATTAGCTTTAACAGATGATAGGATAAGGGGTGTGTGCATGTGTGTCTCCCTCCCTGGAGAGAGGATCTCAGAAAGAGATTGTTGAATAGTAAGGAAAGATACACCTTTGTGCTTTGGTTGATAACTCTTTCTGGAATGAAACCACGTTGGGTCATTACTCTAGAGCAAAGGTCAACTGACTTTTTCTATAAAGGACAAGAAGTAGCAAATATCTGTGTCTTTAAGGGGCCATATGGAACTCTGTGACAATTACTCAGCTCTGCTGTTGTAGTGCCAAAGCAGCCAGAGACACTATGTTAACAAATCAGTGTAGCTGTATTCCAATAAAACTTTATTTACAAAGACAGGTGGTGGGCCAGATTCGGGCTGTAGGCCTTAGTTAGTTTGTCAGCCCTTGCCCCAAAGTACTATGTGCTCTTTCATGATCTTTTACAATTAATATTATTAATTAAAGTGTATTCATTATCTCATTCTTTTTTGTGTCCTCTTGCTATGTCTAATAAAAGGTTGACTTATTTTAAAAAGCAAGATATTTTTCCAAAAATCATTTTTAAAGGCATGTGCAGTTGGGGTGGGATGGAGATGGAATATGTGTGCACAACACACAGCTTCCTGACAGAGTGGCATGGTTCGTCCCAGACCCCAGTCAGCTCTGCTCTGTCTCTAGTCCTTTCCTCTCCTGTCCAACCTGTCCCTCCCACATGGCTCCCCGAGTCTAAATCCTGGCCCCTGGGGCTCAGTGGCCAGCAGCTCTGACCTGTGTTCTCCTCTTCTTCTCGCCTTGGTCTTGATACAGAGGGTGCAGACTGAGTTTGCGCTGCCTGTTGCCCTAGAAAGTCCTTTGAATCTTTTTATTTTCCTGCTAGAGACACTGAATTAAACCTACAGTTTGCAGCCTTTAGTACCCTGTCCCTTCTTTCACCTTCTCTCTCCAACTTAATTGTCTTTGTTCGGAGTTAAAGGATCATGATGAGGTGTGGGGAAAAAAAAACAACAAAGCTTTATAGCTACCATCTTTCACTCCCATAAGGTATGTTTTAGAGTCTAGAGAGGCCCATGTGAAAGAGTCTTGCTGGCAGTTTTACTGGCTTTCCAAAGGAGAGCAAAAGTGCTGGTTGCCAAGCAACACACATGTCCTGGCTTCTTCCAACCCTGTGGACTTAAAAAAATAAAACTGTCCTATGGTTGACTTGTGAATGGGGAATCATGTGGGACTACACAGGGCAAACAGTTTGACAGAACAATGTTACATCTGATTTTTCTGTCTTCGGTGTCTTTTCCTGGGGCCTTTACCAGGTCACATGGAGAAATAAGTGGGGTGTGCCTGCAGCAGAGTGTAATTGGTTAACAAGGCATACGTAGCATTAGGAATGTCACCATACAGTCTTGGAGTCATTTGCAGATTCCATATTGTGAATGATGTTCAAAATCCATACTTTTTCTGTCATTTGCAGACTTGCTTAGTAACGAAAACTTTGAGCCACCCAATGCACGTGTTCCCAGCTGAGACTGGACAGGGCAACAGCTCTGCCTTCTTGTTTCAGCTCTCTTCATGTAAATAACGGTCCTTTTTGCAGTCTATTTAGTGCTACATTTTTTGTCTTGCTGGGCTTTTGTTGGTGATTTCACTGTTTAAAGCAGCCCCCCAGGCGCAGGGCTGCAGTGCTGTCTAGTGTTTCTTTGGGCAAGGCTGTGGTGTGCTTTACAGAGAAAATATGTGTTAGATAAGCTTCATTCAGGCATGGCATAGTGCTGTTGGTGTGAGTTCAGTGTTAGTGAATCAACAATATGGTACATCCAGAAAAAGGCAGAGGAACTTCACTGATGTATATACATGAGGCTCCAGAAAGTACTAAGGTAACATCGAAGGCATATGAAGAAGCTGTGGAAACAGGCTGTATTTGTGGATTCATGAAATGACTGTGATTTTTTTTAAGGTGTAGTGGACAATATTGTGAGGCTCAAAACCCTGGGTCGTCGTTACCCAGGGTCAGGGAAATGTTGAACCCTTTTCAGCTAGTGTTTTGTTATAAAGAAAGTACATATAATTCATTATTTATAAGCAATAGACATGATGGTGTCTTTAAACAGAAATGCACATAAAACAAGATTATGTATTGTTTGATCAATGAACTATTGTGACCAGAGGTTCTTAGGAACCTTAACCATGTACCTCCCCTAGGAGCATGGCTCAGCATTCACTAAGTTAGTGTTCATGGAGACGTAATAGAAATAACTATCACCAGTAATAATAATTAACCATATATGATTGCAACTTAACACTAATGGAATCTATCTTCCACTTCCCAAATGAAAGACGAAGCCCTAGACTAATCCAGGTGCAGTGTCTCTGCTGAGAATTTACGCCAGGAATGGGACTCCTCGATCTGATTGTCAGCTCTGGTGGTGTCCATGACACACCTGATAGACATTTGGAAGGAAGTTAAATGTTCAGACCCAGGAGCTGGGGCTGGAGGGCTCCTCCTCCACACTCCACTTAATTTTATGTCCAAGTCAGTTCAGGCTGCCATAACCGAACACCATAGACTGAGGGGCTTGGACAAGTCATTTATTTCTCATGGTTCTAGAGGCTGGAAAGCTAAGATCAAGGTGCCAGTGGATTTGCATCTGGTGAGAGCCCATTCCTGATTCATAGGCAGCCAGCTTCTCGCTATGTCCTCACATGGCAGAAGGGGCAAAAGAGCTCTCTGGGGCCTCTTTTATAAGGGCACTAATCCCACTCATGTGAGCTCCACCCTCATGACCTAATCACCTCCCAAAGGTCTGACCTCCAGATACCATCACTTGGGGCATTAGCTTTCAACATATGAATTTGGGGAAGACATAAACGTTCAGTCCATAGCATTCTCCTTCCACCACTTTTATCACTGATTATTTTGCTTGAAGGGAAACCTTGATATATTTTTAAATTGCCCTGGAACTGAGCCATAGTGAGCCCATATCTCTGAACTGACACCTTAATTGGTGCCAGATGGAAAGGGAAAACCATTGCTCTTACACCAGTCTCTCCTCCCTGAAGGCCTGATGCAGGTCACATGTGAAGTGATTTCCTGTCTCCGATGTCTAATCTGTGCTGACAGGAGCCTGCATCTCACACCGAGTTGGCTGAGCCGGACGATCCCTCTCGAGGGAGCTCTGCAGGGAGGGGGCTGACTGACAGCCTGATGGGGACACAGAGACGAGGACAAACCCCTCTCACCTGACAAAATAAACACAACTCGGGGCGTGGGAAGCAAAGGAATAACCTCAGCCTTCAGGATCAGGGAAGGCTCCAGAGATGACATGACATCTGGCAGAGTTGAGAGGACGAGAATTGATGATGACGTAAGCAGAAGCCTGTTAAAAGCAAAGCAGGAAGAATGTTGGGACACATATAGGAATGGAAAAAAGAAACACGAGTTGTTCCACCAAATCTTTTTTTTTGTCTGAAGTACAGTACAAGTAGTGTCAGTTTCTGGTGTACAGCACAATGTCCCAGTCATGCATATACACACATATATTCATTTTCATATTTCTTCATTAAAGGTTATTACAAGATATTGAATATCGTTCCCTGTGCTACACAGAAGAAATTTGCTGGGGTTTTTTTTTTTTTTTTGGTCATTTTTTGAAAAGCCTAGAAACACTATTCGTAAATTCCTGGACCTAATTATCACCACTTAGGACACTGGCCTGACACAGCACCTGCAAAGTCCCTACAGGAGGCCCTTCTAGAAAGTTCTACATTCTGTTGCTGATTGAGTGAGTGCTTGAACCTGCCTGTTTTTCCTCAGTTATAATCAGGAATAGGGTTATCTCTTTTTTAATCCTTACTATATGCAAATATGAGTTAAGAGACAATGGCAATAAAGGGGCAACTCCTTGGCAAAAGAAACCTGGCATGTACTGTAAACACATAGATCTTCAATGCAAGTTCATGGCTGGCAAAGTGCTTTTTGTTGCACAGATGCCTGGTGCGGAAACTTGCAGAGAAGGGCCGGGTGTGCAGATAGCATGCCAAATCACTGGTCATAGGGCCCTCCTCTGTCCCTCCTGTCATCTGATTTCTATTCCCAGGCCTCATTATGTGCAATGTCATATGCACACACACAGACACACAGGACTACCTCATCACAGCCAGGACACGTTGTGCCAAGGGAGGTGTTTTGCATGAATTCTGTCCTTGGGGTTAGAAGCACTTGCTCAGCTGCCAACTACAAATAGCCCTGTGTAGAAGATGTTAATTAGTACGCCATTAAAAAGAAAAAAGAAAAAAACACCCCACTGCCCTCAAGAAGCCACGTAGAAGCCTGAAGTCCTACCCTGACAGCCAAAGTGAAGCATGGCCCACTAATGCAGCCTTAATTCACTTTGTTGGCAGAGAAAGCAAGCTCACCATGCTGCTGCGGGAGTCCCTGGGGAACGTGAACTGCCGCACCACCATGATTGCGCACATCTCGGCCGCCGCTGGGAACTACGCCGAAACCCTGTCCACCATCCAGATCGCCTCGAGAGTCTTGAGGATGAAGAAGAAGAAAACGAAGGTAAGGAGCTTGCAAGGGATGCGGAGGATGAAGTAGCTTTCCGAGCCCTGCCTGGGAACTGAGTCAGAAAGAGCTGAATCAGTACTTCTAATCCCCGAGCACCAGGGGCCCAGTGAGTGGGGCTGCTGATGGCTTGGCTCAGCCTTCTCCTTGGGCCAGGAGCACCTGGCCGATACAGAAGTCACTTCCCTCCCTACAGCTGGTGCTGCTCCTGGTTGTCCAGCCTGGGCCCCCCTAACAGGGAGTGCTTGATCCACTTGAGATACAATGGATTGCTACTTTGAGGTGGAAAATTTTGGAGGGACAGGAAATATTCATAATTTATCTCTCACCTACCTTGGTCCTTCAACTGATTCACCCAAAGAGGACTGTGAACTCCTTTCTCAGGTGGCCCTACTGCCCCTGCATTTTCGAGAGGCAGTTTCAGGCTGCTGGGTTTGGCCGTGTTAATTCAGTAGTTTCTGGTGGATGGTGAGTCCTCTAGAAACCACTGGGCTCATTTTCTCAGGCCAGGGCAAAGCCAGGACAGTGGGGGCATGACAAGAATGTTTGAGAAAATAATCATGATTGTGGTCACTCTGGCCTGTGGTCAGCTGGTGACGTATGGGGCTTTTCCCCCTTCCTTTTTGTTTTTGTTTTTGTTTTGTTTTGTCAAAAACACATCTTTCCAAGCAGTGTTCCGTGTGGCACAAGTTGTCACAAATGTCTTGGTTGTGCCAAGCTGGTGATCCCTCCCTCAGAAGAGGCATGGGCTGGTCACCCCTTTCATGGGCAGCCTCGTAGAGGTTATGCTTCGAGTAAGAGGCCATGTCATACAAAGCGCGGGCGCCTGGCCTGGCACACCTCGGGAAGCAACCCCTGTGCAGGGAGGCCCACTGGAGTCTGGACAGCCTGTGTTGAGCCGAGGGCCTCCACCAGTCACCCCAGGATGTCAAGCTTGCTGTCTTGGAAGAGGCGCCCACACTAACTGTCCTCCTCTCACTCACAGTACACATCAAGCTCCTCTGGCGGGGAGAGCTCCTGTGAGGAAGGCAGAATGCGCAGGCCCACCCAGCTGAGACCCTTCCACACCAGGGCCGCGGGGGAATCAGACTTCTCGATCCCCCACCTGTCCAGTGACCCCGACTACTCCTCCAGCAGTGAGCAGTCCTGTGACACAGTCATCTACATTGGGCCGAACGGCACGGCCCTCTCTGACAAGGAGCTCACCGACAACGAGGGGCCCCCAGACTTTGTCCCTATCGTGCCGGCCCTGCAGAAGACCAGGGCCGACAGCCGGTCCACAGAGGCCGGAGAGGCCGCGGCCAGCAAGTCAGAAAGAGACTGCTTGAAGTGCAACACATTCGCCGAGCTGCAGGAGAGACTGGATTGCATCGACGGCAGCGAGGAGCCCAGCAAGTTCCCTTTTGAAGAGCTGCCCGCCCAGTTTGGGGAAGAGCAGGCAAGCAAGAGTCTCCCATTAAGCCAGGCAGCTGGGGCGGGCCTGCTCTGTGAGTCTGATAAAGAAGATGACGGGTCAGATGACCCACTGACCGACAGAGAAGGCGCTGACCCCCCGGCCTCCAAGGTGCAGAGGAATCATTCCCCCGTCCCTGCCGCACTGCTTACCAGCAGCCCCACCCCTGCTTCGCCCAGGAGCATCCCTGGCAGCAGCAGCCAGCACAGTTCTTCCCAGCTTGTGCAGAGCCCCAGCCTCCAAAGCAGCCGAGAAAGCCTGAACTCCTGTGGCTTTGTGGAAGGCAAGCCCAGGCCTATGGGCTCCCCGAGGCTGGGCATCGCCAGCCTGTCCAAGACCTCAGAGTACAAGCCAGCCAGCTCTCCTTCCCAGAGATGCAAAGTCTACACCCAGAAGGGTGTCCTGCCTTCTCCAGCCCCACTGCCAACCTTGAGCAAGGATTCTGGCATGGTCTCTACTGAGTCCCTGCTGCAGCCCGAGGTACGTACACCCCCAGTTGGAATGAGCCCCCAGGTTTTGAAGAAATCCATGTCTGCTGGGAGCAAAGGGTTCCCAGAAACCCCTGTCGATGATGAACATCAGGCAGCAACTTCTCCAGATTCCAAGAAGGAGATATTGAGCACCACGATGGTGACAGTGCAGCAGCCCCTGGAACTGAACGGTGAGGACGAACTGGTGTTCACCCTGGTGGAGGAGTTAACCATCAGCGGGGTCCTGGACAGCGGCCGCCCCACCAGCATCATCAGCTTCAACAGCGACTGCTCTGTGCAGGCCTTGGCCTCGGGCTCCCGGCCCGTCAGCATCATCGGCAGCATCAGTGAGGACCTGGAGTGCTACTCCAACGTGGCTCCAGTCTCTGAGGTCAGTATCACCCAATTCTTGCCCCTCCCGAAGCTGAACCTGGACGAGAAGGCCCGGGAGGCAGGAAGCAGGCGTTCCTCCATCAGCTCCTGGCTGAGCGAGATGAGCACAGGCAGTGACGGCGAGCAGCCCTGCCACAGTTTCATCGCTCAGACGTGTTTCGGGCATGGGGAGGCAATGGCAGACCCCCCAGCCTCGGAGTTTGTCAGCAGCATCCAGAACACTGGTGTGGTATGCCGAGAGAAGCCCAGGGCAGGCCCTGACAATTTGCTCATCTTGTCTGAAATGGGGGAAGACTCTTTCAACAAAGCAGCCCCCATCAAAGGCTGCAAGATTTCCACCCTGGGCAAGGCCATGGTCACCATCTCTAACACGGCCAGTCTGAGCAGCTACGAAGGGTACATCCCCATGAAGACCAACATTACAGTTTACCCCTGCATCGCCATGAGTCCCCGGAACATCCAAGAGCCTGAGGCGTCCATTGCTACTGTTAGCTCAGTCCCCAGAGCAGCCCAGTCCCAGGAGAGCAAGGAAACCGATGCAAAGAAAGAGATGAAATTTGAGGACCCCTGGCTGAAACGAGAAGAGGAGGTAAAAAAAGAGAATGCTTATCCCAGTGAAGAAGGGATTAGGTATGAGACTGCCACAGGCCCCCCAAAGCCTGAGGCCAGAGCAGAACAGGACAGGAAGGCCAGCCCAGGCGACAGGCTGAGCAGCAGCAGCGGTGAGGTATCTGCTTCTCCCGCAGCTGACAACTTCAGGAGGGTGGTGGATGGCTGTGAGATGGCCCTGCCCAGTGTGGCTGTCCAGAGCCCTGTGCATCTTAACAAAAGCCTGAAGTCAAGCAGCCTTCCCAGGGCTTTTCAGAAAGCCAGCAGGCAGGAGGAGCTGGACGGCCTCTTCTACCACTGCACTGCAGAGACCAACGGCATCAGCTTGGCTTCTGGCACCCAGCCCTCCAAGGCCACCCTGGAGAGGAAGGTGGCATCACCCAAGCACTGTGTCCTGGCTCGGCCCAAAGGGACTCCCCCACTGCCCCCAGTCCGAAAGTCCAGCTTGGACCAGAAGAACCGGGCCAGCCCCCAGCACAGCACCTGCAGCAGCAGCTCCAGCAGCCCCTTGAACCAACCTGCACCCTTCTTGGCTAGCTTCACGGATGAGCCAAGCAGCAAGATGAAGGATGCCAGTAGCAGCAGCAAGCTCTTCAGTGCCAAACTGGAGCAGCTGGCCAGCAGGACCAACTCACTCGGCAGGACAACGGTCAGCCACTACGAATGCCTCTCGCTG